CCACCGTGTGATTTTGGAACAGCTTGCTAGGAAAAGCTTTCTCACTTCTCTTTTGGAAACACTTTAAAAAGTTACTAGATTATTAAAAGTTGAAAATCAAAACAACCAAAAAATTTGAAGGAAAAATAGGTCATGGGTTCGAGTCACCGGGAGGAGAAGTAGAGGAACACAATGACATGCAAATTATAGATGTATGTATAGGTGGCCCTTTTTCCTTCAATTAGATTGGCATAAAATTATCCTTCTCTCTAATTTTATTTTCCTCTATTTTCAATTTTTTTTTGGGTAATTTTGTGGTGGGTGTTGTAGAACTTTCGGGGATCGATTTGTGGGCATCCCGTGAAGACTGTAGATACAACTGGAGCTGGTGACTCTTTTGTGGGAGCCCTACTCGGCAAGATTGTTGATGACCATGCCTTAATCCACGTATGCTACTTACAATGCTACGGTTTCATTACGGAAACATTTGTAACCATTAGATCAACTATCCCCGACGGTTATATGATGATCTAACGGTTACAAACCTTGACGGAATAGTTCCGTAACGGGACCGTAGCATCTCCCAAGAAGTTACCCTTTTCTTGATTAATTATATTATATTAAATTAGACAGAAAAAAAAAATTGTGTGACATATTAATATTAATGACTGATAAATGAAATTTAAATGGCAGGATGAGGTTAGATTGAAGGAAGCATTGAAATATGCATGTGCTTGTGGAGCCATAACCACGACCAAAAAGGGTGCAATTCCAGCTCTTCCCACACATGATGAAGTTCTTACCCTCTTCAATGGAGCAAAATAGAGGAAATTACAACACATTTCAAGTCCTTATTTTTAATTTTTTAAAGTTTTGAGCTTTTTTAGTCTAAGTGTGTGTCTTTTGCGCTGTAATTTTTACATCTCAACGGATTAATGTTTCCATTTTACACTTGTGAAGTTGAATCATTTTCGTAGTATGTGGTTATTGATATGAATAAATCAAGCTTCCGTATTTTTCGTTTTTTTTTTTTTTTTTTTTTTTTTTTTTTTTTTTTTTCTGATGCCAAGATAACTTAGGCATATACAAACTAGGAAATTCCTTGAAATAAACCTTTTTTTTTTGGACACTATAGATATGAATAGAACATTTTATATGTTTTAGAAATCAAAGGTGTCAGAGCTCAAAAGAACCAAGTACAAAAGAGCTTAAGGTCATGAGTTATTTTAAAATAACTCGGAAATACTGAACTGGAGATACATACTAACTGTGTACATATCAAAACTTAAAATCTGAAAACTAACTATAAAGTCATTTTCTTGCTGTCACGTGACATTTGACTCTCATTCATACTTGTCGGCCACACTAATTTTTAGTCGTATCTCATACGCATCTTTCTTATATAAACAGGCTCATTAACTCCTTCAATCTTTAGCAATGGTCCGAAATAACAAATGGATCAAACACTCTCAAAAATTCAAAATCTTTATTCTTATCTTCCACTTAATATCATAAAAAAAAATCTATCGATATCGAGTGGAAAGATTAAGAATGCTAATGCTCCATAATATTCCAAGTGATATACGATGGCTGATTGAAGCAAAAGTCCGACTACCTGGCAAATTTCCAAATTCCTATAAATATCTGCCAGGTATGGGTAGAAGTACTCTTGCCAAGAAACGAAGGGCAAAAAGAATAGACGGCTGCTATAAATGTGCTCGTTGGAACTGTGACACACTCTGTGCTTCTTTAGGATTTGTGTCCAGTAATCGAGAGGATAAAATAGCTTTCATAAAGAATGGCTTGAGTAAAAAATCTCTGGATCAAACTATCCAACAAATTCTTGAGACACATCCTAGTGGATATGTGCATCGAGAGTTTATGTCTTTATGGGTCTGTTTCAAAAATGAGCAAAACCGCTATAGTCTCAAAAATATTGTCACTAAAGATCCTGTTTGTAACAACTGTCTGTTAACTTATACAGTATTGAATATATTATCTCTTCTGATAGATAATGTTTATTTAAAAATCAACTACTTTCTTGTCGGCACTTTTCCTCTTCAAAAGGCAAGCCTTTCTTCATAACGATTGTCTTCTCAAAAATGGCTTCTGCTGAGTCCTCTCAAGGTAGCAAACTTCTCCAACCAATAAAAACTGTGTGCGTTCTTGGTGGTTCTAGATTGGTAAATTTTCCTCATACTATCTATGTCGTAAGCGAACTAGTGAAAGTGTTGGGAAAACACAAGATTAACATACTTTATGGAGGGACTAGTATCTATTTGTTTGATAACCTTGTAATGGCTGCTAAATGCTTTGATTTAGAGGTAAGAAGTATCCTCCCTTTCCATCTCACTTCATCAAAAGTTGTCAAAGATTCTACTACTTTGATGATAACTCTTTCTATTTATGAGTGTCTGATGACTATGGTATCTGGTTGCGATGCTTTCATCGTTCTTCCTGGTGGATACGGAACCTTAATGACTGTTTTCACCCTTGCTACATGGGCAGAAATGAAATTTCATACCAAACCTATTGGTCTGTTAAATTTCAATAACTTTTTCCAGATCTTGCTATGTATCAATCTTTTATATCTCCTTTACAAAGAGAAATGTTCAAGTCTGCTAACACATCCGCTGAACTTATCAAGAAGCTTCAAGATAGCATCTCAACAATTCAAGATTAGGTGGAAACTCAAGGATTCAAACGCAAGCGAGCCTTTGACCTTTAGATCTGATATAGGATATTATACTGGACCCGGTTTAATGGATAAAACGAATACATATTAGAAGATAAGCCCACGTGCGGACAAAAGACATATAGCACCGCGATATGGGCCAAGTCCAACTTGGGCCCAAAAAGGTACACTTCCCCTATAAAAGGGGGTTGAGGTATTCCTTTCTCTGATTCTTTTCTCATTCCACTACTACACTCTCTCTATCCTCACTTCATTACATTACTACATGCATTCTCTCTCTTGATCTGAGCACTGACTTAGGCATCGGAGGCCCGATGCCGGGGCCACCCGG